CCTACAACTTTTTAGTTTTAAGTTTTTTAATTTGAGGACGATAAGTTGCTCAAAAAATAATATAAAATTTCAGCATCATAATAGCGCTTGCCGCATTAGAAAAATAATATATTTTTTGTATAGAGTCAAATAAGATATTTTTTATACCAAAGTTGTAGCTCTCAATGAGATCTACAACTTTATAGTTTTGAGTTTTTTCATTTGAGGACGTTAAGAGGCTCAAAAAAACAATATAAAATTTCGGCACCTCCCGAAAAAAGAAAACCGCTTTTGAAACCAGCCGAGGGCCAAATTTGTCCGGTTTTGATAGTTGGAGGGTATTTGTTACCCGGTTTTATAGTTGAAGGTTGAAAATCAAACTTCAGTGCAAGTTGGAGGTTGGAAAGTGTACTTTACTCTTATTTTTTAATGCGATGAACGCTAATACGCGATTATTATGCTGTTGAATTTTTTTCCATCTTAACTATCTCAATTGTAAAAACTACAAAGTTGCAGACCTCATTAAGAGCTACAATTTTGATGTAAAATGTATCTTCATTTCACAACATACGAAAAAGATATTGTTTTTCTAATATGACAAGCATTAAGTACGTGGTTATTATGCTCCTGAAATTTTATATATTTTTTAAGAATCTTAACGTCGTCAAATGAAAAACTCAAAACTAAAAAATTGTAGATCTCATCGAGAGCTACAATTTTCATATATACTTTATGTTCATCTGACATCGTATCAAAGAGTTATAATTTTTTAAAGATTTAGTCTTGTCACGCCACTTTCGGTGGCGCAACAGAATAATACTGTCATGCCAGTGGGAGTGGTGTGATATCGTTTTCCACGTCGGAAACACCATCTAACATGGCATATGTTGCCGTGCCAATGCATGCGGCACGACAAACGTTATTTGATCGTGCCATCGGCATTGGCGTGACCAAAAGGGTCAGATCCGCAAAATATTTTTAGGAGCGATTATTATTAAAATATTGAATAAAATGGTTTAAAAAAGTTCTCACCAACTGCTAATCTAATTTTGGCATGTTGGGTTGTCTGTTTGGACCACCTGTTAACCAGGCCTCACGGAAATGAGGGTGTGGTCGTTTCCGCGAAGCCAGGCCCTAGGTGCCGCTCGTCTCACCTCTCCGTGACCCGCCTCCCCAACTGGTCCTCAGCGTCCGCACAACAACCACCTGCTTCCTCGGGCATCTCATTGGTGTCCACGCATCGCCAAGCCGAGAGCCTTCCCCACCCATGAGGAGATGCAGAAGAAGCATTAGCACTCTCGCCTCTGCCTTCCCCGGCCACCTCACCTCCGCCGTCCACATCCTTGACCCTGGCCACCTCGCCTCCGCTCGCGTGTGCCAAAAGAAGAAGAAGCAGTAGCAGAGATGGCACCCTGGCTTCCACCGTCCCCACCCACTTCCCCGCCCACCTCACCTTCACCCGCACGCTCTAGAAGAAGAAGTAGTGGCAGCAAAGATGGTCACCCTCGCCTCTGCCTTCCCAACCCTTGGCCCCGACCAGGTCGCCTCCACCCACGCACGTCGCAAGAAGAAGAAGAAGCAGCAGCAAAGATGGCACCCTCGCCTCCGCCATCCCCACCCGCTTCCCTAGCCACCTCGTCTTTCGTCCGCGCACCGAAAGAAGAAGAAGAAGATTAAGTAGAAGCAGTAGCAAAAGATGGCCACCCCGCCTCTACCCCACCCGCATCCTCGGCCACGTCGACTTCGCCCGCTCACGCTAGAAGAACAACAAGAAGAAGAAACAACAACAACCGCAGAGATGGCCATCCTCGCCTCCTCCTTCATGGCCTCCCACGCGTGTGCCTCTCTGTGGCCTGTTCCACCACCGGCGATGGGAAACTCCAACAGCAGCAGTGTGTAGCTTGCGTCGTCTGTGAAGACGTTGTCCACTACGCTGGCCAAAGATGTTCTTACCTTCAAAGATCACCCCTCATCATTCTTACAGACTGAAAAGGCTGACTCACTTGGATGACCAAAGGATTTCCACACCATGGCAGCATAAGCTCTCACCAAACTTATGGGCTCATCTTACAAGACCATGTACAAGAAAGGTTCTGCCAACAAGGTGACAGATGCACTCTCTTGAGTTTCCAAGGCTTCACCTTATGAAAATATATGTTCTCTCTCTATTATGAAGCCTTTATGGTTGTAAGATATTCGAGTAGTTTATACTCAAGACCCTAAGCAGTCAAGTTGTTGTTAGAGTTATCCATCTCATCTCTTGTGAGTCATATTCCCTCCTTTCAAGCATAGAATACATTATATTGTAAAATTATATTTGTAAAGAACTTTTGGTAAAGCAGGTTGAGAGAACATTTTTTAAGAGAAAAAGACAAAAAACTAAAGACAAAAGTTTTTTTTGGGAAACAACAAAAGACAAAAGTTAGAAAGGTAACTTTTAAGCAAAAACATAAAAGTTACAACATGTCTAGAGGCTTGTTTAGATGCAGTCGGATTCACCTCAATTCATATGTGTTAAAGTGATTGATGTAGAAATTAAACTAAATTGCATTCTAAAACTCTAATATACTCCAACACATATAGAGTCTGTTCGCTGGTTGTTTTCTGGACTGATAAACTCGGCTGATGCTGGTTTGTGGTGAGAGAAAAACACTGTTGGCTGGCTGATAAGCCCTGGCTAAAACCAACAAACGAACATCAGTGATAGATTACGATAGATATGGGAGCATCAAACAGGACCTAACATTGTTTCACAAGTTATTAAATGTGTGTTCAGAAATGAAATTCACTTGGTTCATATTTTCCTCCATCCCCTTTTCACCATAGTACTACTTGCATTAACACTGTTGCGTACTCCCGCTGTCTCAAAATAAAAAATTATTCTCGCTTCTTTAGATGTACTTTTTTTTTAACTTTAACTAATTATATATAAAAGAATATTAATATTTATAATACATAATTTGTATCATTATATGGATCGTTGAATATACTTTCATGATAAACTTATTTGGAGATATAAATTATCGGTGTAAAAAGTGACCAACAAGTAAATATTTATAGTTTTGCCGTACGTCGTGATCGGAGGTGGCCTAGCACTCAATGACATAGGGTTTATACTGGTTCAGGCAATGTGCCCTACGTCCAGTTTGAGTTAGTTGGTGACTTTATTCCTGAGCCTAGGTGCTCGAAGTTTGCAGTGGGGTTACAAACGAGAAGTAGAAAGATGGAGGGTACAAGAGGTCCGGTCGGACTCCTGTCAGAAGGGCCGAGAGTGATGAGCTCCGCAATGAGCTAAGTGTTCGAGCGTGTGCTCGTGGTTTGAACCTATTGGTTCTGCTGTTGTGTGCTAGTGAACTTGATCGATCTCATGAATCTAGAATGACTTGAATCAACCTTCCCTGTTGAGAGAGAGCGCATCCCCTTTTATAGATGAAGGGGATGGCCTTACACGTGAGAGGGAGGGAGTACGTATGCTTCTAAACCTTGTTGCCCACGTCGACGGGTACAGGATGATGGTAGGCGCCCACAACACTGTTGGATATTAGATGCACGTGGGAGGTCGTGTCGTCTTGTTCGAGTATGGCAGATGTCGGTACCTGCTATACTGTTGATGTCTAGAGGGATGTGAGGAGTTTTACTATGTTCACTCAGTATGGTAAATGCCGATGTCCACAACACTGTCGATGCCTAGAGGCATGTGGGGAGCCTTACCGTATGGCAGTTAATGGCGCCCACAATACTGTATGGAAAAATATCGGCGCCTACAACACTACTTGGGCTCTGTTGTGCCAGGGAGGTTGCAGAGTACTGTTTTTACAGGTGCGCAGGGTACGGTCCCTAGTATCGTGGTTTGACTTTGTGCGCTCTGTCTTGCTTTCTCCGTTCGTTCCCTGGTCATTTCTGAGTGGGCGTCCCCGATCGGTTGGTCCTAGTCGGTTCTGATCGCGCCAGTTGGAGAAGAGCCATGAGCAGGGATTTGGCACATCCCCGGTTGGAGACGTGAGTCGGAGTCAGAAGTAGTGCTTTGACCAGACCCTTCGGTTGGAGAGGCCGTCCGAAGGCGGGCTAGAGATCAAGCCAGTGCTCCAGTCGGAGAAGTGGGCCGGAATCGAAAAGCGGGTGCTGTTCCTCCTCGGCCAGGCCTCCCGGTCGGTGATTGGATCGCCCTTCTGGCCTGTTGTTTAGATACTTGGATCGGCCCATGAGTTGTGTGTTGTCTGCTTGGGCCGAGCCTTTGTTGGAAAGCTGGTCCGCGAGAGACCCCGTGTTTATGAACCCGACATAAATATTACACATATTTTCTAGAAATCTAGTTAAATTTAAGAAAGTTCGACCTACACGTATCTCATAACGACTTCTATCGTGGGGCGAAGGGAGTATCTCTCACAAGTTCAGGGGGTGTTTGGTTTCACCTCCTAAACTTTAATTCCTATCTCATCGGATGTTTGACACATGCATGGAGTATTAAATATAGACTATTTACGAAACTAAATGCACATGTTGAGACTAATTTGTGAGACGAATTTATTAAGCTCAATTAGTCCATAATTTAACAATATTGAGTTATAGTAAATATGTGATAATGACAGATTAATTAGGCTTAATAAATTTGTCTCGTGGATTACTGAGGACTTATGTAATTTATTTTTTATTAATATTCAAACACCCCACGTGACACCCCATCAGACATTTAACATGACACCTCTTAAACTTTAGTCTCAGCTTCAAACACCCCTCAGTTATTTAGCCAAGGAATTCTCTAAAATCACACCAAGGTCCTTCCAATCTTTGCTAAAAACACCCATGGGGAACTCATTATTACACGCGCCTTGCTTTTACTTCATCGTCCTCGGTGACGCAGACTCGTCCCTGTTTCTCTGAAACGAACCAAACAGCCACCGCAGATCCGAGCACTCTTCCGTCCTCCCGGGCCACGGCGATCACCGCCGCCGCGGCGCCGCCCATATCCACAGCAGAGACACTCGCCCGGTAGCTTCACCTCGGGCGCGCGTGGGGCGGCCATGGAGGACTACCCGGAGGAGCTGCGGACGCCGCCGGTGTCGCTCGTGTCCATCGTGGGGTGCCCAGAGCTGCACCCCTCGATCTCGGCGGCACTCAGCTCCCAGCAGCCGCCCATGAACACACTGGCCCTCCCGGACTTCGCCAAGGCCTCCATCCTGGCCCGCAGCGGTAAGCCCCGCGACCCTCTCGCACCGTCGCAACCCCCCGCGGGAATCCTCAAGAAGGACTGGCTCCTTAAGCACCGCACCCGCGTCCCGGCCGCCGTCGCCGCGCTGTTCCGTGCCGACCAGGTCTCCGGCGACCCCGCCCAGTGGCTCCAGGCCTGCTCCGATCTCGAAAACCTCAAGTATGTTATCTAAATCGTTGCGTTGTTGATCCCAAATTGACTTTGCACGGTCAGAGATTTAGTTACGAGTCTTAAGATGCAAAATGGACAACTTATCAACCATCTGGGACTTAGGAAGCACCACCCACACTTTATTGACAGCAGCTAGTATAACCGAAGTTGACGCCAAGTAATTTTCGTTTGATGCACAGGTCTGCAATTCAAGGGAAAAACACTAAATTAGTGGTGGTCCTTGTGCAGGCTCAAGCTAGTGGTAAGTACCAACTTAGATAATTTTTGGTCTTCTCTTCTCTCTATGCAGTGACTAGTAGACTGATTATCTCTGGGTAGTTGGATGCCAACTATGGTGAAGGTTTTAAGTTGCACCTAATAATATTTTCTACAGATGAGCTGAGTGAGGATGTAACTGTTGCCCTGAGGAAACATGCGGAAATCGATTCCAAGCACTTGGTTGTGTTGGTTGAGCACGATGAAGCAGAATGGAACAGATCTCTGAACAAGTCTGTAACTTTTCTTTTCCTGTGTTTTTACTGTTGCACTTTGTAGAACAATCCTAACCATTTTCTATGCCAAATTCTTTGGAGGTGTGGATGATTGTAATATTCTGTATCTGCAGATTGAAGAATGTGTTTGTGGAGTTATGTGCAGCATTCTATAAAGAGGAAGGGCGAAGGATAAAGGCTCGCATTGAGAAAAGAAACTTTGCTTCTGTCGAGCTGAGCATCCGGTACTGCTTCAAGGTAAGGACCTCTCTCTCCTTGAATTTAGTGCTATTAATCATTGTAGGTGCAGTGTAAAAGCATGGAAGCATAGATAATTTTGTTCACATTTGGTTGATAGTAATTTGATTAATCTCTTTCCCACATTGTTCTGATCTATCCATTTGCTCCATTATTCTAATGCACCAGGTTTCTATTTATGCGGAGTTTAGAAGGGATTGGCCAGAAGCATTGAAGTTCTATGAGGAAGGTGTTCGTGTTTTGCGTGAGGTCTGATCACATCCCTTTCCTTATCCTTAATCAACACGTGGCATACTGAATCAATTATCTCATAAATAAAAGATAAACTGTGGCTATCATAAATCCAAAAAAAGCTCACTGTTAGCTGATGCGCCACTGTTTCTTAAGAAGTTTCTATTGGCTTTGCATCATCCATTGATAATAATGTGCTTATATTTAGATGATTGGTACTTCGACAAGGTTGCCTCCAACCCAACGCCTAGTTGAGATAAAAGCAGTTGCCGAGCAATTTCACTTTAAGATATCAACCTTGCTGCTTCATGCCGGGAAAGTGGTAGAAGCAATCACATGGTTCCGTAAGCATATCAGAAGCTATGAACGGGTTGTTGGAACACCAGAAGTCGCTTTTCTTCACTGGGAATGGTTTAGCAGACAGTTCCTCGTCTTTGGTGAGCTGATAGAAACAACATCTACAACTATTCCAGATACATTATCTCCTCGATTTGGCACTGCAGACAATGCATTGACTGAGTGGGAATTTCAGCCAGCATACTACTATCAGGTTCAACCTACATCTTTGCACAGCACTGCGATAGACACTCCATTTACTCGATTTCACTAACAATTGACTTCTCATACATTTTCTTTTGACAGTTAGCGGCAACTTACTTGAGAGAGAAGAGGTATGCCATCGAATGCTCATCATCAATGGCTAACCTTACAACAGAAGTTAATGGAGTACCTGAGTCAGTAATGCCTTCTGTATATGTTGGCCAATATGTGCGCTTGTTTGAGCAAGGAGATACAGTTAGTGTACTACCGTAAGCTTCTTGATACTTCTTTTCAAAAAGTTATAACATATTCTTTATATGAATATGAATATGAATAGTTATACCTCAATCTGGTTGCAGCCTTTCTGATACTGAATATACCAGCTATGCTTTGTCAGAAGCTGAAAGGTTTCAAGATTCTTATGAGATAATAGCATTGTTCAGAAAAGCTTATGAATCATTTCAGAGCCTAGGTGCTACAAGAATGGCTTCTGCCTGTAGCGGTGGAATGGCCATAGAATATTACGCAGCTGGGGATTTTAGCAATGCAAAACAGCTTTTTGATAGTGTTGCTGGTCTATACCGCCAAGAGGGTTGGACCACTTTGCTCTGGGAGAACCTAGGATACTTGAGAGAGTGCTCAATGAAACTTAATTCTCCAAAGGATTTTATCAGTTACTCCCTTGAGATGGCTGCATTACCATTATTTTCTGGTAGTGGAGCGGAAAATCGAGAAAACAAAATTAAGAGTGGGCCTGCAGGTTCCCCTACCATTTCCAGGAGAGAGAATATACAGCAGGAAGTTATTAATGTTTTGGAAAGAAAACAGTCATCAGAAGGAACCGATGATGGATTTAATAATGCGATGGAAGAAGTTACTCACCTTGATATTGATCAGATAAGTCCGCTAAGAATGGTGCTTACTGCGTCTGTTGCTTTTCATGATCAATCTGTAAAACCTGGTTCACCTCTGCTTGTCAGCGTGTCACTCTTATCTCATCTTCCTTCTCCAGTTGTGGTTGATCAGTTGGAGGTTCAATTCAATCAATCTGACTGTAACTTTGTGATACATAGTACACAGGAAGATTCTCCTCCTTTAGATTCAAATTTGCGTGACCAAGTTGTTCAAGATACTTCTCTTACACTCTTCACCAATAGGTGGATGCGGTTGACACATGAAGTAAAATCAGGTACTATTGGTATATATACTTGTCATGATCAGGAACCTTGACAATACTTCATTTCATTAAGTGTTCATCCACTTGTGTTACTGTTTTAGCATATATTGTAAATTAAATTGCGCTGGTTGCCTAGCCCTGTTTTTGATGTAAAATACGTGAGCTAGGAACTCCATGTGGGGGACCTGGATTAGCAAAAACCAGATACTTTATGTATTTTAGTGATAAAGAAAATCAGAAAGCCCAGAAATATTATTTTGATTTATTTGAGCCAAAATCATTTCTTTTAGGATGTTATTGCCATGCCAAGGGAAGGATAAAAATTCTATGGAAGTCACCTCTAGCCAGGGAATCTGGGAAAGTAAATATAATGTCAACTGAAGAGAAAGATCTAATCCTTATGTTATCCTCAAATGAGAGATTTTTCTTAAAATAAAATAGCATGCTCCATACCCATGGCATATTATGGATTCATGATAAATACATAGTGATATGATGTTAATGATGTATCATGTGACACGTATGATAAAAAAAGTGTATCATCTATATTTTTATCAAACACGCAGGAGAGCTGCACAACTTTGTATTAGAGATAGGAAAGAAAGTACTGGTCTCTTACAATCTCCAAGGGGCAAAGCTCAAAGCCTAACACTCACAGACACATACCATGCACACCGCCACACGGACACTCAGCAAAAAGAGCTCGCCACTTAAACAAGAGAGTAATGACCAGGGATACATGCAGGGGGCCTCCAAACTTTCTTGCATCTGCCATGATCTAGAGCTGCACCTTATCATAGATTTCATGCCGAACTGAGCTAATATTTGGAGTACTTGAACATGCAATATGATGTATGCATATACTGATATGCCTAAGGTAGATCAAAGTTGGGAAAACAAATCCGGTGAGAACAAAGACTTAACATTATTGTGTAACAATGAAAAAATTGGAGGAATAGAATAACTGAGTAACTATTAGCTATTGAGGAACTATTCATGCGATATGTCCCTTACTTATCTAGTTGTGGTAAAAATGGAATACATCTATTTTGAGTGTCATTCTCTCAAAAGAATTGTCGTGTTATATGCCATCTGAAGCCAAAACTGCAGTGATTGCTTAACATTTACCATCCATGTGTGTTCTTACTCTTAGCATTTACATGTACTGTTAGCATGCCATATGACGTATGCATATACTGATATGCCTAAGGTTGGGGAAAAAATACGGTGAAAACAAATGCTTATATTTTTTGGTAAAAGAAAAACACAAGTGCTTAACATTTTCGGTTAAAAAGAGAAAATGCTTAACATGAATGCATAGCATAACAATAATAATTTGTTTAGGAAACAGAACCAAACTGTTAAGCTATGAAGGAACCAGCCATGCGATATGTTGGTTAGTTATCTAGCTGTGGTAAAAATGGGTATGTCCATTTTGAGCAATAGGCGGCATATAAAGAATTGTCATGTGATGTTCCATCTTGAAAGCTGAAACCACAGTTATAGCTCCCTTTTTTTTTAGTTTGCTTAGTTTTATAGGGCTTTGCCTATTTGTTACTTGGTACTCGAACATTTGAGCCGAAACTTTCCGTGACATATGTGTTTGGTGATAGTTTTCCTACCACTAATTCCACAGTGGAGCTAACATTATGAGTACGTTCTGCAGGACAGAGTGGAAAGCTAGAATGTTTGTCTGTGAAGGCGACAATACACAAACACCTTGTGATTTGCTGCCACGCTGAAAGCCCTGCTTCCATGGAAGACTTCCCATTATGGAAATTTGAGAACCAAGTGGAGACACTACCCACAAAGGACACTGCTCTTGCCTTTTCTGGACAGAAACTTATTCAAGTTGAAGAGCCAGATGCTCAAGTTGACCTTGTCTTAAATTCTGCTGGCCCTGCTTTAGTTGGAGAGTTATTTACTGTACCAGTGACTATAGAGTCAAAAGGGCATGCAGTCCATTCTGGCGAGCTGAAAATTAACCTCGTTGATGCCAGAGGTGGTGGTCTGTTGTTGAGTCCAAGGGAAGCAGAAGATTCTGAAAGTCATCATGTTGAACTTCTTGGTGTATCAACTGTGTCCGAGGATAAAGAGTCAAAGGAAGAGGCTGATAGCATAAGAAAGATCCAGTATTCATTTGGGGTTGTATCTGTTCCCACATTGAGTGTGGGTGATTCCTGGTCATGCAAATTAGAAATCAAATGGCATCGAGCAAAATCAGTCATGCTTTATGTTTCACTTGGTTACTCCCTAGGCTCAAGTGAAGAAGAAGCATTGCACCGCCTTAACATCCATAGAAGCTTGCAAATTGAAGGGCAGATCCCCTTATTAGTTAGTCACCAGTTTTTGAGACCATTTAGGCGAGAACCGTTATTGCTATCAGGGATCAGGTCCTTAGGAAGTGATGATAAAAAATGTTCTCTTGCTATGAATGAGTCTAACATGCTTATTGTGACTGCTAGAAACTGCACTGATGTGCCTTTGTGTTTGCATTCAATGACCATTCAACCTGATGGTGATGGAGAGCAGCTCTGTTCAGTGCCACAGATCAGTGGAATTTCCAATGGTCATGCAGTTGTTGCTCCTAGTGAGGAATACAAAGGAATATTTTCGGTCAATCCACGGGCTATCAGTACAAACTTCAATCTAGGTGAAATTTGCCTGAATTGGTCAAGAGATTCAAGCCTTGGTGAGGATCAAGATAGGCTTATTATTATGAAAGAACAATTACCTGAGGTCAGCATTGAGGAGCCGCCGCTTGTTGTGGGCATGGAGTGCCCTCCCTATGCAATCCTTGGAATCCCTTTCACTATCTATGTGAAGATTCACAACTCAACGTCTTTGCTTCAGGAAATCAAGTACTCCCTTGTTGATTCCCAGAATTTCGTTTTTTCTGGTGCTCACAATCATGCTGCTTTCATTCTGCCGAAATCAGAGCACATTGTTAGTCATAAGCTTGTACCGCTTGGTTCCGGCTCTCAGCAGTTGCCAAAGATCACAGTGACTTCGGTGCGGTATTCTGCTGCATTGACTCCTTCAGCCTCAGCAGCGACTGTCTTTGTGTATCCCAGTGAGCCTAAATTCAACTTGGAAACCAGCCATTCAACATCCGATGAGATCGTGAGTTGAGACCTGAGCAACCCTAATTCTCCCCTCTCCTGACAAGCTCGGCCCAGGCTGCATGCTACGCAAAGTATGCTACTGGAAAGACCATCAGTTTGATCTTTCATGTTGATGTTGAAGAGACGAATTAGATTCCTGTCGGCAAGAAGGGATTGTTGCTGTGCAAAAGTTTTGGCATTATTATTTTTCGAGGTTTCGATTTTGTAGTGCTTCTGGATTAACCACATATCTGTAACTTATGATTACTTCATTGTTTTTGACCCAAGGGTACAACATACACAGGAGGATAGGCTATTGTAAATCACCATCCCACCAGTCAAGTGGGGAATAAACCAGCCCCATGGCTCAGTTTTTACTCTTTGATGCTTGCCAAATCGTCAATTCGTCTTGGTTCTTTTGTTTCTCTGAAGTCTGAACTCTGCTATTTAACTAGATTGACCCTACTATCGTGCATATCGTTTTTCTTTCACTGGAAACACCATTCTATACAGGGAAAAAAGTCACTTTATGCTCATGAGTCATGATGTTTCTCACTGGAAACACCATTCTATACAGGAAAGAAGTCACTTTAGTAACGATGTATTTGACGTATATACAGGAAAAGTCACTTTATGAGTAATGGTGTATTTGAGGTATGGCGATGGCTGCGTGCTTCATGTTGGCAGGGCTATTGGAGGAGAAAAAGCAACGCGTCCTTGGCTCCTTGAGCAAGTAGCCTTCAGCTGGCGGCGCGCTCCATGCCGATCCGTCTCGGCGTCGCACACGGCATATGCCCGTCCGTCTATAAACCGGGAAAATTCGCATTATCTCCATCCCCACTTTGTTCGTCTCGCCGTATCTTTACATCGCGGGCCGCCGCTTTGTTTCTCTAGCGCGGCTGGAGACGGGGGTCTAGGGTTTAGGCTCCCAAAAGCCAAAAATCAAGGAGAAATATTCGCAGGCCCACTTCGCGTCTCGATAAAGCCGACGTCAACTGTTCCGTCAAAGCAGAACCCGCCCCTCCCCGCGCCGTTCTTTTTGGTTCCCCTGTCCCCGCCGCCGCCGAAACCCACCGATGGAGGTCGTCGCCGCCGCGAAGCAGAAGACGAAGAAGCACGAGAAGCACATACACCTCTTCTACTGCTCCGAATGCGAGGAGCTCGCCCTCAAGGTCGCCGCCAGCTCCGACGCCATCGAGCTCCAGTCCATCAACTGGCGGTACGCCACCCTCCCCTTCCTCTCCTCTTCCTCTTCCCGCCTCACCGATTTCATGGAGCAAGCTGATCCGTCGAGTTCTATGACGCCTCATCACCAGGAGCTTCGACGACGGGTTTCCGAACCTGTTCATCAACAAGGCCCACGACATCCGGGGGCAGCACGTGGCGTTCCTGGCCTCCTTCAGCTCGCCGGCGGTCATATTTGAGCAGATCTCTGTCATCTTCGCGCTGCCCAAGCTCTTCATCGCCTCATTCACGCTCGTGCTGCCCTTCTTCCCCACGGGCTCCTTCGAGCGCGTTGAGGAGGAGGGCGATGTCGCCACCGCGTTCACCCTCGCGCGCATCCTCTCCATGATCCCCAAGTCGCGCGGCGGGCCGACCAGCGTCGTCATCTACGACATCCACGCGCTCCAGGAGAGGTTCTACTTCGGTGACGACGTCCTGCCATGCTTTGAGACAGGGATCCCGCTCCTGCTGCAGCGCCTCCGCCAGCTCCCGGACGCAGAAAATGTGCGTAGTGGCATACATTATTGTGCGAACAAACTTTTTTTGGGGGGGATAAATTCCTACTGTAGTCCTGACTGATGGCATGTTGCGTGCAGATCACCATTGCCTTTCCAGATGATGGAGCGTGGAAGCGGTTCCACAAGCTGTTGCAGCACTTTCCAATGGTTTCCTTTTCTTGCTTGGATATGTCTTTCTTTTGTTTCGCATACCTTGTGTTGTCATGAATCCCCCAGTTTTTGTGCTCTCTTGTCATGGATTTCATGTTGGTCTGTTTGATTGTATATAGATAGTCTGTAACAAGGTTCGTGAAGGTGACAAGAGAATAGTTCGTATAAAGGAAGGAAATCCTGAAGGCCGTCATGTTGTTATTGTTGATGATTTAGTGCAATCTGGGGGAACTCTTCGAGAATGCCAGGTATGATGGATGTGTTATTCTATTGCTTCTTCATGATAGTAGATGGCAATGCTTAAATACCTAGTTGTCTTAGCATTTACTCAGTTTGGAAAGAAATTCTGCGTCATATATTCAATATGGCAGAGGCTATTTGGGGGGGTGGGGGGGTTCATAATCCTTAATGCAACATATTGGACATTTGCCACTACATAAACAAAGAGTCCTGTTAAAAGCTAAAAGAAACACTAGTGCCTTCTTTTGTCAAACCTGTGCCCAATTTTTCAGTCCTTCACTCCTCAACTCTCATTTTGTTGGTAGACCTGGTTTACTGTCTGTACTACTGTAGTTTATCATACCGTCAATTGACAAATGTTGAGTGTTAATAACTCAGGGTTGGACTTTAGTGGCATATATTCTTCGTTTCCTCTAAAGAATCACATATTCTGCTTACATTACCTGTCACTTTTTTTTTATAAAAATATCTGTCTTCTTTTGCAGAAAGTTCTAGCTTCACATGGCGCTGCAAAAGTTAGTGCTTATGTGACTCATGCTGTGTTCCCTAAGCGCTCATATGAACGTTTTATGTCGTCGAATTCTGGTAATTGGCAGTTCATCCAACTTAGCAAGTCCCAATTTTTCTTCTAGTTGCTTATTATGTGTTGATCGCAGCTGGGCCAGGCGACCAGTTTGCTTGCTTCTGGATCACGGACTCATGCCCACACACAGTGAAAGCTATTGGCCAAAGACCTCCATTTGAGGTTCTGAGCCTTGCTGGCTCAATTGCTGATGCTCTTCAGATCTGAGCGTACACTGGTAGATGGGCTTGAATCGTGGATGCCCATCAGATTGAACTTGTACTATGAGATGAGCTGCTCCTGCTTTTCCAAAATGTAATAGTTTGTTTCCAGTTCCTGGAAAAGCAAATAATGTGGAGTAAGTTAAGTACCTGAAGGTTCCATAAACAGCACTGTGAATTGATAATAAAATCAGGCATTGGATACTCCGTTGTTGACTTCTGTGTATTTGTCAATATTCACTTCTGTTTGAAGTTCGTGAGATCAGTGCTTCTTTCCTGACCTGTTGGAGTACTGTTTTAGCGACTTCAGGTACTGGGCTTTGTTGTGAACGACTAAATAGTGCAATGTAACTGAGCTTCAACCCAATTTAATTTCTATTAGATTGGATGAATGATCATATTGCAATCATGGCCTGTTGGCTGCCTTGAATTTTACTGTTCTATGGATGCATCGAGCCAATTGGTTTATGTTGATAGCCTGCGTATGAAGAGCAAGATTGCAAGAGCATGTAGCATAATTGCATTTTAACCCTGCTCTTCCCTCTCTTACATATCAGAGCTGTTGTAAAACAAGCTATTTTTCAGGCTGATTTCGCCGGTATTAGTATCAAATTTTTTTTTTTTTTGGCTGATTCTGCCGGATCGTAGATTTTAGTATCAAAGTGGTCATTTTTTGGTGCTTGGTTCGGAGTCTAAGCTTCCTGGAATTTGAGCTTGTCAGTTGGCACATCTAGCATCTCGTCACCAAACTCGAAATTGATAGCAGGTAGCTGGTTGAGAATAAAATAGTGTGGGGTTCTTCTGTTTGGTGATGACTTGAGCAGACGAGCAAAAGATACTTAGCTATCCTTCTAAAAAGGCCATCGTGCAGCTGCTTCGCATGGCCGAGCAAGTTATCTCCAACAGGTGTGCAGAGCTGCAAATATAAGATAACCTTACTATAATGCACCATGCTACCAAAACCAAAGATTTAAACGTCATCTGAGGCTTTGGAGAAGCACTGAAAAGCATTCTCCTACGAAACTTGTGGAACAGAAACATACCTGCAAGGCCGCAACAACAGCTTCCTGCTAAAGCAAAGCACTGCCCTTCAGAAGCTTCACCCAGAAGAGCCATATCTGGTGCAGTGAATTACTTGCAAGAAACATAGATATTTGCAGTATAAAGGTGTTCATGGATCCTGGACATGCCATGACAAGAAACAGCAGCAGGCATTTGCCATGGAACCCAAGCTCCCGTTGCTCGTCCTGTTCCTAGCATTTGCAGCCTGTTCTGCCAGTCATCACCGAGACCCCTCTGTTGTTGGATACTCCCAGGAAGATCTTGCATTGCCCAGCAGACTTGTTAACCTCTTCAAATCCTGGTCGGTGAAGCACAGCAAGATCTACGCCAGCCCGAAGGAGAAGGTGAAGAGGTATGGGATATTCAAGCAGAACCTGATGCACATTGCAGAAACAAACAGAAAGAACGGGAGCTACTGGCTGGGCTTGAACCAGTTCGCCGACATCGCTCACGAAGAGTTCAAGGCCAATTATCTGGGATTGAAGCAAGGATTGTCAAGAATGGGTGCACAAACACGTACCCCAACAACGTTCAGGTACGCGGCCACACCCAACCTGCCCTGGTCAGTCGACTGGAGGTACAAGGGAGCCGTGACGCCGGTCAAGAACCAAGGAAAATGCGGTGAGTTCCATCTCTGAACAATATACGCACACCGTCCTTTTCAGCATACTGTCAGTACCGATTCCATAAGAATACTACTTGTGCAACGGTAACGCGATAACAAGGTGAACATGCTTGCAGGGAGCTGCTGGGCCTTCTCGTCAGTGGCAGCAGTTGAAGGGATCAACCAGATTGTGACGGGCAAGCTGGTATCGCTCTCGGAGCAGGAGCTGATGGACTGCGATACCACGTTGGATCACGGCTGCGAAGGGGGTCTCATGGACTTCGCGTTCGCTTACATAATGGGGAGCCAGGGGATCCACGCCGAGGACGAGTACCCGTACCTCATGGAAGAAGGCTACTGCAAAGAAAAACAGGTTCGCACAAGACACAAATCCTCCTCATATGTAGACTGGATTGCAGGCTTGCAGCCAGTTCTAACAAGAGTTCTAATTCTTTGCTCTGGCGTGTTTAGCCCCAGGCTAACGTCGTCACTATAACTGGATACGAGGATGTCCCGGAGAACAGTGAGATAAGCCTGCTGAAAGCGTTGGCTCATCAGCCTGTCAGTGTTGGCATAGCTGCAGGGAGCAGGGACTTCCAGTTCTACAAAGGGGTAAGCAAAATTGACTGCCTGTGGTTTCAGATGGTGTCACTATCCGTCCCAGTCTTTCCTTCTATATCAATACAAGTCGGCAGATCTCCTGTCGACCGTTAAAAAAAACTGTCAGAGTCTCACAAAAAAAAACATGTGTACCTCGTCTGGCTGGCTGCAGGGGGTGTTCGACGGCGCCTGCAGCGATGAGCTTGACCATGCACTGACGGCCGTCGGATATGGCTCGTCGTACGGGCAGAACTACATCACGATGAAGAACTCGTGGGGCATTAACTGGGGAGAACAAGGGTACGTCAGGATAAAGATGGGCACTGGGAAGCCGGAGGGTGTTTGCGGCATCTATACGATGGCTTCCTACCCCGTGAAAAATGTAACAGGATGGGGTGCCTAATAGTTTTGTAACGAATTTGACAATTTGTTCAAAAGTAATTTTGGAACGAATCTATCTCGTGACCACATGGCAAGATACCTTTTTATCGTTGATGTCAAGATCCCCAGCTACTTGATTTCACAAAATCCATGTCACATCCACCACTCCAGCACAATAAGGACAATTATTTTGTGATTCTACTATACACGACTGTCTCGGGTCTGTTCGCTTGAACTTATCAGCTGCCGGCTTATCAGCTAGAATCTACAGTATTTTTCTTTCACAACAAAACAGCTTCAGCCAGCTTTAATACCAGCCAAGCGGTAAGCGATTGCACGGCCAAGCGGTAATCGAAGTATGGGCAATTAATCGGAACAATGGAGGAATTTATGGTTCAAACTTCATACCATTGTCGACCGTACTTAGCCGTGCTCATCCTCCTTCAACGTTCGCTCCCAATCTCAGTAGCAGGTGTTAATCAAGTATTGTGAACAAAGGGGTCGCGGGTTCAGTCCATCTCCAAAAACCACTCACAAGTGTATATATAAAATGTTTGTGGCGAATGAACATCGAAGGTCCCATGGTCTAGTGGTGAGGACATTGGACTCTGAATCCAGTAACCCGAGTTCAAATCTCGGTGGGACCTATTTTTTCACATTTTACATTTTTTTTTGGAGTAGCGAGTCTAACGGGTTAAGCAATCTATAGGCATCAGTCCATACCCAGTCGTCCCCCCCCCCTGATTTTCTGTTTTTTTTTTAGGTACCTCTGATGGTTATGATGAATAGAAAGCAAATTCGCCTGAGGGAATTCGTAGTCGTCCACTTCACGAGTTCACAGAATCACAGTCCAGACTCCATCGTCCAGTTGGTCTTGGTCGTGCTGAGCTGCTGACGCTTCGCCCGGGTTCGCAGCCAGGCATCGGTCGCCGGCGACCTGTACCCCGCCGAGAAGATGCATCTGAGCGCGAACGAGGGGATCGAGGGCGTGCGGTTCGCGGTGACGGGCGGGCAGGGCTTCGTCGGAGCCGCCCTCTGCCTCGAGCTGCTCCGCCGCGGTGCCCGCGAGGTCCGGTCCTCGACCTCCGCGCATCCTCCTCCTGGTCCCAGCAGCTCCTCGACGCCGGCGTCCGCATCATCCAAGGTAAGTCCCTCCCGTTTACCATCTTGAGTTCAGGTCGCTGCATCACCAATCACCACGGTTTTACTTTGCGGTCGCTGTGGGTGTGCTCTGCGGATGTAGTACTGGTACAACAACGCTACAACCTACATGGTAGATAGCTTACTTCATGTGATTTACTGCGTTGTGAGTTGCAGAATTGGACTGCTCTTAGAATAGATGCTTATGGAGTGTTTGTTTTGGGAAATCAACCCATTCTAGATGGGGTGACGCATCATGAGTCCATTCTTCAAATTTAGTGTAATGACCCCATTTCTCATAGTACTAGTTATTAACTTGTGAGAAATGATGTGGTGATGGATCAACTCATTCTATTCCACAGACCAAACAAAAAACTAGAGAGTGAGATGATGATGGATCACTTCATTCCATAAACCAAACACCCCCCAGAGTGCTCCAGTCCTTAGTATGCTGTAGTTCGGCTTCTGGATCAAGATGCAAATTAGTCACAAAAAGAAAAGATGCAAATTAGTGTGTCCACACGAAGGACATTAGTGCACCAGTACTACTTGCTTAACCTGTGTGTATCTAAGTAGGTAGTTGGTGGCTCTTGCATAGTTTTTTCTGTGCATGTTTTGACTGCAATCACCCTGTTAGCTTCTGTTTCTTTGTTTTTAACGCAACTGGTTACCAGATACCAATATGTGGCTTGTGGAATGAATCATCAGTTTCTTAAGGCCTTGTTTCACAGGGGACATTAGAAAGAAGGATGATGTGGGGAGGGCTTTCCGTGGAGTGGACTGTGTTTTCCACCTTGCTTCTTATGGCATGTCAGGGAAGGAAATGGTGCAGACTGGGAGAACTGATGAGGTTAATATAAATGGGACCTGCAATGTACTGGACGCTTGCCATGAACAAGGTGTTAGGAGACTTGTGTATGTAAGCACTTACAATGTGGTATTTGGAGGAAAGCCGATTGCCAATGGAAATGAGGCGTTGCCTTATTTTCCAATTGAAGACCATGTTGATGCTTATGGGCGCAGCAAATCAGTTGCTGAACAGTTGGTACTGAAGAGTAATGGGCGGCCAGCTAAGTAAGTTTACCCTTCTCGTTTGCTAGGGTCCAGTACATTGAAAAATATGGCAAATACGCTTAAGTTTTTTGTGGACCATGCTGTCGTTCAAAAGGACAGTTAGAAAGAAATTGTTTAGGCTAATGCTACACTTTGTACACTTTCTTAGATTATGATATTGTCTTCTGAAAACCTTAGTGTTGTCATGCGTAATTGCACCTTCTTAAACAATAATAATAATTTCATTTCAGCTTGTAAGTCAAGAGTGGCATTTGATAGTATGCAGCCTGTCTTATTGATTGGGTGAAATCTTACAGGAGTGATAAAATTACTCGTCTTTATACATGTGCAATTCGCCCTGCTGCTATATATGGACCAGGTGAAGAGCGTCATCTTCCAAGAATCCTGTCCCTTGCAAAGTTGGGATTAACATTCTTTAAGATTGGGGGCCCAGATGTCAAGACAGATTGGGTGTATATAGATAATCTAGTTCTTGCTCTGATATTGGCAAGCATGGGACTTTTAGATGACATTCCTGACAGGAAAGGAACCCCTGTAGCAGCTGGTCAGGCCTATTTCATCTGTGATGGTAATTGCTGTTACTGTTAGCTTCTGTGATGTCATTACTAAATTATACGCACGCAGGTCCCATCTTTGTGTTTTTTTCTGTCCATAGTGGTACTGCTAATTTTGTTTTTTACTTGAATGTGAAAAAAATGCAAGCCTAGGCTAGGTAGAGAAGACATCCGTGGTTTATTTTCTTGATTTTGGCAATAATACCATTGCTAGCAAATAGCAATCATTGGGGGCAGATGTCAAGACAGATTGGTATAGATTCTAGTTCTTGATATTTCATGGGACTTTTAGATGACATTCTCTCCCTGTAGCATCACTATTTCAATCATAAAAACTGTTAGCTTCTGTGAAAAAACACTGTTCAGGTGAGGTCCCATCTTTGTGTTTTTTCGAATGAGCTGAATATAGTTTAACTTATGTACTACATAGATCAGAGGTACAGCCCATCATCTACTTGATAGCTAATTGCCTGATCATCTTCCTGGCTGGAAAGCTGATCTGTTGAACTGGGCTGGTAGAAAAGTGCTGGTACATTATGTACTTACTTCAATGCTGGTCTACTTAGCTATGACATCTGAACTCCCTCGATGGGTCATCAAAGAAATTGAGAAGGTCTGGAGGAGATTTTTGTGGAAAGGGAAAAAAGAAGGCACTGTTTGGTTTCATGGGTAAGGCTTGTTGACCCCCTGAACTTGGTGGCCTGGGCATCTCTGATCTCCAGCGGATGGGATGGGCGCTTAGGATGTGCTGGCTTTGGTTACAAAAAACTGAACCTGAGTGCCCTTGGTCTTCCTTTCAGGTCCAAGTTGATCCATATGTCCATTTTTCCTTCTCCATGGCAGTATGCTCTGAAGTTGGTGATGGTGCTTACACTCTGTCAGACAGGTGGATTCATGGGCAAATAATTGAAGATCTTGCACCCTGCCTTCGCTTTAGTTCCTAAACGTAGAGTTAACAAGTGCACAGTTTTTGGAAGCACTCGCTGATCATGCTTGGGTGACTGACTTGCAAGGGGCATTTTCTGTTGGTGTTCTTGCTGATTTCTTGAATCTCTGGGACCTCTTGTCTCAAGTGGTGTTGCAACCTGGAACTGATGACAAATATATTTGGCACTTCTGGTGTGTATACAGCGAAATAACTTATAATGGCTTCTTCTGGGGTGCTGTGGTATTCAGTCCATGGGAGAGAATTTGGAAATTTTGGAATCTGAACAAGTGTCACTTCTTTATGTGGCTGGTAGCTGGTTAGTTTATAGTTTGTTGGAGGTAGTTTTTGATCGCTTATCTTGTAACAAAGGTGCAACTCTGATTTTCATAGGCTGACTGTGGGTGTGGGTGTGTTTGCAGGGTGAGTGTGTGTTTCCTTGTTTTTTGGGCTCTTTTACCCTTTTTCTTCTTAATATAAGGATACACAGCTCCTCCTGCGCGTTCGAGGAAAAGAAGTAATTATTAGCTACTTTCCTTCTCACTTGTTCTGAACATTGAAAGTTTGAAGTTCAACACTTTGTATATATTATACACAATTCATTATTTCCGTAATTAGGCGTTCCAGGTTTCCATTGCTTGAATAACAAAATTATTTGCAACACAAGTACACAGTGTTCCATGAGTTATGTTTACACCCAGTAAATACTGAAACCTTTGAACAAACCTAGAATTTAGACTTTTTCTTCCTTATAAGAGAAGTGTCCCCTGAGAATTTGGTGTCTTCAAGTCTCTGTGATATAGAACATGTTGATTATATATGCAGTTATACATTTCATTGCCTTATTGAGCTATAACTGTTTTGCAGGATCACCATGCAATACTTTTGACTTTATCATCAAGCCCTTATTTCAAAGTTTGGATTATTCCGTTCCTCAAGTGACGCTGGATACCTCTGTTGCCCTTGCCATTTCAAAAATATTTTTATTCATATCTACATTGTTCTACCCATGGCTTGATAGTAAATGGATGCCTCAGCCTCTAATTCTTCCTGCTGAAGTGTATAAGGTCAGCCTCTGTCATATGCAATTTTGATGTTTTCTTTTGTGTTGCTACTTTACCTACCCCATTATAGTTTTGAAATATGAATATAATGGTCAGATACAAGTGGACCAGTCATGTCAATTTCATTGCTAGTTTTTATTTTATTTTATTTAAAAACAGTTCTTTTCAAGGGATCTCTCTACTGAACTACTCGGCCAGCAGATTTGCAAATAATATTTTTGTTTGATGTTGGACAAAAGTTAAGGTACGAATGCCATTATCCAAGGATCTGTAAATAATACATCTGATGTTGCTTGCTAATTGTGACAGGTTGGTGTTACACACTACTTTTCGTTCTTGAAAGCTAGAGAGGAACTCGGCTATGTACCTATGGTGAGGCCTCACGAAGGCTTAGCTGCAACAATCTCATATTGGCAGGAGCGGAAGAGAAGGGAACTGGATGGCCCGACCATATTTACTTGGTTGGCTGTAACAATTGGAATGCTGGCTGTGTTTTCTGCTGCTTGTCTTCCACCAGTCGGCCCATTGAAATGGGTGCTTGACATCCATCTGTTTGTTTTTCGCTCGATGCTTGTGATCCGGCTGGTCTTGATGATAGCAATTGCATTGCATTTTGGCGAAGCCGTGTATGCCTGGTTCTTGGCGAAAAAGGTTGATCCAAGGAATGCCACTGGGTGGTTTTGGCAAACCTTTGCTCTAGGGTTCTTTTCTCTCCGGTATCTTCTCAAGAGAGCCAGAGGGTGAATTGTGTGTAATTCACATGTACGTTGGGCCGTTGGGGATCCTGTAACAGTGATTCCAAACTTCGTGCTTGCTTTTATAGAGGACGCGTATCCGATGATCCTTTTACTTCTGTATAAAAGTTTCCCACCCTGATATACTCGTGTACCGTGATCGACTGATCGGATTCAGCCGTGGCGCAGAGCCGGCCACTTGTGTGATCGATGTTTTACATGAGTTCAGTTCTCCATTGTGTGATCGGTGTTTAACAGGTCACTTTCTTAGATGAGCTGTAATGTAAGTAGTCATTGTTAGATCCAAATGCAACTACTGTTCCAGCAGAAATTTGGTGGCTGTCGCACATCTAATGCCGTATATGCTGTGAAGTCTGAACCGTATGATATTATTAATATGTCGAAGCTAAAACAGCACAGCTCGTTTTCCTCGCCTGCTAATTACACCTGCACGAGTTTTTTCTTGTGCCTGCGGAGAACTACAATGCTAGGACAAGAGTATATGCCACCACCGGCCTCTGAGGCTTGAACCGGAAGTCCTGAAACAGGCATGTTACAGACTGATGACGAAGCAACCGAAACCGGGGCTAAAATACTGCCACGAAAACAATGAGGTCCAGTCCAGCTTCAGTTGAGCACCACCACTCGGGCTGATTCTTCCACCAACCCCCCGACCTACCATTCCCGTGCATTCAATAAAAGTTAGTGTCGGCGAGCGGAAGCAACCAACCGAAAAAGGGAGAGGGGGGAAATAGGTGACCGCCGAGTGCTGTGTCAATGTCAGGCTCGGAGTTGGACTTGTGAACTGCAGCCATGTACATGAGCCGCACGAACTGCAGACTCGGCACCTGTGCGTGCGGCTGTGCGCTTCTTCCTCAATCCTCCTCCTGACTGCACTCTCTCTCGGCCAACAACTCCCATAGTAAATCACTAGTTCACCACCGTAAAAACGATGGTGCAGTAGCAGATGTGAAGTGCAACAACCGTGTTGTATAAGTTTATGTTCAGAGCATGCAACTCTGAACGATGTTTTGTGAAGGTAGATTGGTGGCGTGCATTTGCTGTGGAGAATCATTGCTGAAAAGCTCTACCTTAAAGCCTATGATGAGCAGCCGAAACATGACACGGACAGACAAGGTTGACGGGCACGCGGCTGCCATTTGGACGATGGATGATTGGCTCCTCCCCTCCCTCCTCCGGCCTCCCCCATGTTCTCATGTGGAACCCTTTGGTTGCTGCAGCTACCCAATTTTTTTAAGTAAATGCCTTATGCGCTTCTATTATAATCTGTATTTTTCAATTTCTTTTTTCAGTCGAAACAGTGTTTTCCTCCCGCAGCAAATCATACGGCCGCTGTTCAGATCAGATGAGTCGGTGGCATGAGCTGCTGAACGCCTGAACCGAGTCACACAGAGCCGGACAGCACACCACTTGTGGACGTCAAAGCGGCTGCCAGGTGGCCGTATCGAGGCCTGCACCGCACCAGCAGCTGCTGCCACCCATCATTTTTGCCACCACGGCTCCAGTGTATCTGAGCTGCCTGACTCGGAGGAGGAGAAATAAAAAAGGTTTGGTAATTCGTTCACGTCGCCTCGCGCTATAGCATGTTATTCTGTTCATTCACAAATTCACAAAAGCTAAGGAACTTTCAACTGCACACCTCGTTCGTGTCCCCCTCATGCATGAATAAAGCCAGCCTGTCGTGGCGCTGTCGTGGCTGCGACACAAACACCGCGCCATCACATACACATACCTCCTCCTCACCTTCCTCCTCCATCCTCTGTCCACACCAAAAGCAGAAGGAAGGGAGAGATCTGGCCATCTGGGGGTGAGAGAGCAGGAGGAGAAGACCATTGCTCTCTTGAAGGCTAGAGACCTTCTCCGTCCTCTTCTCTCTTTGGTTTGCTTGCTCTGCCTCTATCCGGTCCGGCCATGGCCACCATCCTGGAGAACATCCAGAAGGCGAGGTTCCTGCCAACCAGGCCGCTCAAGGACGAGCTGCCCACCTTCCAGGGCGGCTTTGGCGGCGGTGGCAAGGAGGAGAGCCACCTCATGGGCCTGAGGAAGCGGCTGTCCTCCTTCTCGGGCAAGATCCAGCCCATCTCCTCCGCGTCGGCCGAGTGGGCGTTCCGGCGCTCCAAGTCGGCGCCCTCGCTCGGCGCCGCGTTCGCCGCGGGGGGCGGCTCCCTGAGGCAGTGGTGGCAGCGGGGCGTCGGCTGGCTCCTGTCCAAGAAGCCCGGGTTCGCGGGCGACCTCGAGATGAACGAGGAGGAGGTCGCCGCGATGGGCCGCCAGAGCAGGGGCAGCTGGGGCCACATCCTCTACAAGATGCGCTCCGGCGTCCGGCGGCTCGTCATGTCCACGCACTCGCTCCCCACCACGCACAAGCAGTCGTCCCTGCCGTCGTCGTCGGCGGCGGTGCACAACAACGTCCAGTGCAAGCCGGCGGCGGCGTTCGCCTACGCGCAGCGGCAGAGCTTCCACCACACCGGCCACGCCATGGCGCACTAAGGCGCGTCGCGCGCGAGGTTGCAGGTGCCGTTTGCAGCCGATCTCCTCCAGATTCAGAAACGGAGAACGGTGAGAGGCACGAGAAGAAGAAGATTCAGGTTCCAGGTGCGTGAGATCGATGGTGAAGATGTCAAGGTACCGTTATAAGTGAAAACTGCTCGGTGAATTGATGATGAATGAAATGGAATGTAGGTTTTACCATCCTGTGCTGTGTAGATCTAGTGCCCCTGTAGAGGTGAAGAAGTGTTATATGCTCGGTTCTTTATATTCTTTTGGGTTCTTTTGGACGATGAAAATGTACAATGTTTGGTTGATTTTGTACTGTTTTTGCCTCCAGCAGTAAATAAAACTAATGCAAATTGTGCTCCTCTGTTCTTGAGTAGTGGGTGCTATGCCTTCATTCAGAGATCAGAGAGTCTCAGCCTCCAGATCTGATATGTCTTTTCAGCGGCTGCCATGCCCTGTAACATTCTGCCATGTATCGGTGTCGGTGCACGCGTTTGCTTCCTTTGCTGGAACCTGGAAGTAGTAGTTGGTCAATGCAACGCAAAAACAGCTAGACAAGCTTGCGAAAAAAAAAATCATAAAATGCCTGTCAACGTAAGCAGCAGCTAGGAGAATATTCTCAAACGAGAGTTGCCGCCGGTAGCCGGTTCATGGAATCATGGTTTGTATGGCAGTTTTTCCAGTGAATTTGTCCACGGTTTAGTCATCTCAAAAACGCAAATTACTTCGAGACATGGATTCGAACGCCAATTTCACTCCAATTTCGTTTCTAGAACGACACATACTATTCTCTCGTGTCCCTGTCTACCGCTACCAGTACCAGGAGTAGTAGGAAGCACAACAGAAGGTGAAGCGTCCACATGTGAACAGGTAGGCGGTCAATTCTGTCACCTACGACTACGAGTCCTGCAGTCGAGCACTGCACCACGAGAAAATGGATGGTTCGGCAGCGCTCCGATGGAAGGAATCGCGGTGGTGCCCGCGAAATAGACGTGAATTCGGCGGCCGGCAGCGGCGGTCCATGGAATTTGGAAGGAAAGCCAACCCAACCTTGCCTTTTCCTCGTATAATAAAGGCCACCGACGTTTTCTTACCAGGGCCAGGCCAATGAGTGGACGCCCAACCCAATTCTTCCAATCTTCTTCGCGGCCTTCGCGAAATTCAGCCCAAAATCAGTTTCGAGCTGAAAGCCACGGCTCCAAATTCCAGCCCATGATGGCCTACCCGGGAGCGGCCGCCCCCGTACACACAGCCCGCGGTCCACTCCCCAACCTCCACCCCGTCCAGGTTAGGTTGGACAGGTGGTCACGGCTCGTCTCCCCTCCGTCCCTCGGCTTGTCCTCTTCCTCCGGCCTTCCCTTTCGTGCGCTACAGTGCAGAGACAAAAAGCTCCCCCCCGCCCTCCCCGCCGTTGTTTCCCCCACGCGCGTAGAACCCCCAAACCCCGAGCGCCCGCGGCCAGAGACACCCATCACACACGCGCATCACGCCACCCATCCGTCACCAGCGACCCGCGAGCACCCATGGCGAAGGGAGGTGGAGGCCAGCGCGAGGGTAGCGCCCTGAAGACGGCGGTGATCGTCGCCGGGGGGCTCGCGCTCGCATGGGTCACCGTGGAGACCGCCTTCAGGCCCTTCATGGACCGCCTCCGCGCCGCCATCTCCCGCTCCACCGACACCGCCCGCGACCCCGACCAGGAGGAGGCCCCCGCGCCTGCCGCTGCGGCCGAGGCGGAGGAGGAGAAGGCGCCCGCACCAGCGGAGCCGTCCGCGCCGCCGGCCCCGGCCGAGGTGGAGGAGAAGGTGGCCGAGTTGGAGGAGGCCGCCGCCGCCGCCGCCGCCGACAAGGCCGAGTGAAGGGGATGGCGACATGGCGACCTGTCTGTTTGCTCTTCTGAATAGTATGCTGTTGGTTCTGTGAATCTATTCTGTGATTTTGGAACCTGTCGCTGTCATGGATAGTGCAAAGTTTGGACTATAATTTCAGTGAGTTTAGCAGTAAGGTTGCGTTAGTTTTTGGCTTTGGTACCATTTAGTTCACGTCGTTGATGGCTTGATGTGATGGTATGTGTGTTTAAATGTTTATTGAACTGCTGACTACTTGATTATGATATTTGCCAACTATTTCTTAGTTAAAATAGCGGTTGCTTTGTCTTTTGCATCATCAGGTGCTCTAGTCAATATCATTATTATGCTAATGTAATATGATTGTGTGTTATAAATCCCTATTTTGAACTTCCTTATATCATTTTTCCATCTGGTGCTAAGAATGCTAGTGTTTTATTTGCTGTGCATCAGTAATTTGTTTGCACCGTCGATTGTTGTCCATGCTATCAGGTAGGCAGTTTTCCAGATGAATAAGTCCTGGGTGTAGCTTATCTTTACTCAATATTACTATGTTAGTCTTTAACTCTGTTTCTGCATTTTGTTCCTTTTGCCATGCATCATGGATGATGCAATTTGTAAAATTTGAATTCTGATATCAGTATCCCCATTTAGTACTAAGCTTAGGTCACCTGTTTGATTTCTGGTAATATTAGTTTTATTACATGTTATTGATGTGATCCTTTACTGATGCTTGGAGTTGGGTTTCCGTTTTTCATTGCAAGTTGACCTACCAGAGGTTAGAAAGCATGTAGCGCTAGTGTGAAGAGGATGATGGAGCAATCCAATTTCATATAAATTGCTAACAGTGCAATGTTATACATGTGAAACCACAACACAAGTAATGTCTCATCACTGCAGTTTCAATTTTCATGCACAGGGCCATGGCAGGTCCAGAAAAAAATGGAGCAGGGGCATGCTAGCCGAAGCTAGTTTAGCACTAGCTGAGAGCCTTATGATTAATGCGAAGCAGGGGCATCTATGGTGGAAATTTGTGATTTAGGGCATGTTTGGATGCTGCCTCCCAGGCAGCTCAGATGCCAGGCAGCGTCCCCAGGCGTTCGATTTCGATCGCCTAGGGCTGCGATCGCTTGCCTGGCAGGCAAGCCCAGGCGAGTGCGGCATCCAAACACGCCCTTACTATGTGGGCCAAGAATTAAGTGAGAATCTGTGCACCTGCTCGGTTGACTGTAGTTCCACCGCTTATGATGTTCAGATAACTAGTGAGAGAATCCACATTTAGTACTAAGCTTAGCTCACCTGTTTGATTGCTGGTTATAGTAGTTTATTACATTTTTTTTTTGCGAACATAGTATTTTATTACATGTTATTGATGTGATCCTTTGAAGGGCGGGCCTGGTGCAAGCGGTAGAGTCTTACCGCCTGTGACCGGAAGGTCCCGGGTTCGAGTCGCGGTCTCCTCGCATTGCACAGGCGAGGGTAAGGCTTGCCACTAACACCCTTCCCCAGACCCCGCACAGAGCGGGAGCTCTCTGCACTGGGTACGCCCTTTTTTTATTGATGTGATCCTTTATTGATGCTTGGAAATAGGCTTCCGCTTTTCCTTGCAAGTTGACGCACCAGAGGTTAGAAAGCATGTAGCACTAGTGTGTAGAGGATTGTGGAGCGATCAAATTTCATGTAAATTGCTAACAGTGCAATGTTATACATGTGAAATCACAGCACAAGTAATGCCTGATTACTGCAGTTTCATGCACAGGGCCAGGGCCCCCCAGCAAGAATACTGAGCATGGGCATGCTATCCAAAGCTAGTTTAGCACTAGCTGAGGGTCTTATGATTCTGCGAAGCAGGGACACCTATGGTGGAAATTGTGATTTACTATGTGGGACAAGAATTAAGTGAGGTTCCGTGCCGCCCCTGCTGGGATTACTGTAGGTCCGCCCCTACACAGGGCATAGGTTGTTAGTAGAACATATGGAATTTAAATTGTTTCATGATGTACAGATAACTAGTGTGAGAACCCATAATGTACTTGCTTCTTAGGAGTACGTGATTATATGTGCCAGGGCAAAGTAGTCATGTTATTTTACACACGACATTGAAGTTTGAAATGGAACCTAGCTTATTATAGTAAGGTTATAGTTTCTCCCTGTGAACTTCCTGTGGTATATTTGATTGTGTCAGATATGACATCTATACATATTATTAGGTCATTGTATGATCATATTTAATATTCAGTCATTGCATTCATACCCATAAGCTTATAGCTTCGTACATAGTGTATAGTGCATAAATGGCATATCTGGAATTAAAATTTCTGGACTATTACATTTTTATGAAGTTGCAGCATTTCTGCCTTTACAGCAGTTTATAGATGTTAATACAAGCAGCGGATTGTAGAAGCGACCAAGCAATATGTATTAAAATGCTAGATGTTAAATTTTGAAATTGAAGTGACACTGTTTTAGCGAGTAGTAGTTGGCCTCCCTAGTTCTTCCTGCAATTCAGTTGTGTTGGATGTGGTGTCAAAGCACAGGTAAGGTTATGTTATTAACAGTTTCAAGATTCATGCATGCATAGTTAACATCTCTCTGATGAACAACTCTTTTGCTCACTTTTTGCCGAACCTATAATATTTCTGCATTTACTCAGGCATTCATGTGTCACATTGTGTTATATGCTAAACAATCTTCAAAATAAAGTAGTGTTGTTGTGTTAAACCAAGTAAGATTATCAGTGTTGTTAATTAATTAAGAAACACAATTGAGATTCATGTTGGTAAGAAAGTTGGGTACCAATTATCGTCATTTCATATCATCTGGTATACTCGTATAGACTGATCACATGTTATTTCTGTTTTCCAAGCTGGTGTGTCTATTTGGTTAGAGGAATTGTAGAGATTTTCTTGTGTTCTCCATTCCTTTATTTGTAATTTCTTATGCTGGGAGATAGGCACTTGCTTAAGGCGATGGAATCCTGGCTAGCTTTTGATTCTACATAGTACTCTTTTTTTTTTTTTGCTCTTCAATGCTGTTTCTGTGCTTGCTCCCCACCTCCCTCAAACATGATGCTTGTTCCCTTTTTGCTAGCTGTCATGAATGAGGCAAACTGAAAATTTTGAATTCTAACATCAGTACCGCATTTCGCACTAAGTTCAGCTTGCATGTGTTGTTTCTGTCTATGTTTGTTCTGTGCTCGTGCTATTTATGTGATCCTTTGTGTTTATGCATGTTATTGATGCTTGGAAATATTTACATTGCAAGTTCATCTACCAGAGGCTAGAAAGGATGCAATACTAATGTGCAAAGGAAGATGGGGTGGTGAAAGTTCATGTAAGTTCCTGACAGCTCAATGTCACATGTGAAACTGAAGCATAAGCAGTGACTGATAAGTTAGCATGACTGCACTGTAGTTTTATGAATGGGGTACAGTTCGTTAGTACTAGTAGCACATGCTCCAAAGTTCATGCATGGAGTATAGAATAAGTGAAGTACCACAATGCTTGGATAAGTGGTGATAGAATCCATAACGTACTTGCGATTTATATATCATTATACGTGCCAGGGGAAAGCAACCAATGTTATTAGGATGCAGCACACGTTGGTCATTGAAGTTTGAAAGCTGAAACTAAAGTAATTATAATAAGCTTATAGTATGCTACTGCAAACTTCCTGTGCTATATTTTCTTGTTTGATATGACATCCATAGGTAGTAAATATTAGGTCATTGCATGCTTACGTTTTAGCTTCATGGGCAACACATAGTTCACTAATGTCATATTTGGAATTAAACTTCCTGTAGTACTCCATCAAAAGATGACTTTAGGAAAGGATAATTAGTGCAAATTTGCATTGATTATCCTGTCCTAATGCCATCTTTTTGATGACTGGAGGACTATTACATTTTGCTAAAGCTGTGATGGTTTCTACTTTTATAGCACTTATAAATGTAAATAGAAAGCAGCCGGTTGTAGTCCAATCAGTAAATGCTAGATGTTAAATTTTGAAATTGAACTGGCATTTTTTTTGGTAAACTAATAAGTAGTAATTGGTCTCCTGAGTTTGTGTAATGCATTTAGATGTGTTGGATGTGGCATCAAATCACAGGTAAGGCTATGCTATTAACATGGTTGTCGTAGCTTCAGGCTTCATGTGCTATGATCTCTCTCTATGATTGATCAATTCTATTACTAAGTTTTGGTGAAGTTGTAATATATCCGCATTTACACTTATTATATGTCGAAACCTTTTGTGCTACATCATTTTTTGTGTTACATCATGCATGATGAACATTGTGCTACATACTAATATATCCAAATTTAGTCTTCATTACATGCATATATGTAGTTTTGTTGTGTTGAACTAAGAATCTCAATGTTGTCACTTGATTAAGCAACAAGGTTCAGACTAGAGTTCATACAAAATTTTACTAAAAAGTATGGTTATCCATTGGTGGCATCCTCTTCCTCTGTTTGAAATGGGTGTTATTGAGTTATCATACATCTTCTGTTTCAGTTTCTATTGTCACCATTTTGTTTTAGCTTGGCAGCTTCTACGTCCTACTTGATGCACACTTCACTTGTCCAGTTTCTACTGTTGGCATTTTGCTTTAGCATATCCGGTGATTTTACTTCCTGGCTGATGCACACTTCACTTGTATCTTTTGCTCATGATTTGACAGTTAACATATGTTGATCTCAGGCTTTAGATGGAGAACTCTATGTTTGAATTGTTGCACAGTTATCTGTGACATCAGGAACACAGAAATGTTCAGTTGGTAGCATAATTGCTTCACAGGATATCTAGTTCACATTTATATACTCAGCCTAAAACCAATATAGATGTAATCTTAACTATTAAAACTTTGACACTTCGTTGGTGATTTTGGCATTATTTAGCATCGATGAAGTACAAGATCATTCTAGCTTTTTTTTTAATAAAAAAATCAAGTAGAACTGCTATTGTAAACCTAGTCATTCGCTGCTTTCATGGTGTGGTAGCTGATATATTTT